CTTGCTAAACCAGGACCCACATTCACAAAAAACCTATTAAACTTCTCAACTACATCCTCAAATCTGTTGACCGGTGTATCATTGTCCATAAAATATTGAGGGTATTTACTCCTGCTAGTACTCTTTCTAATCAATTTAGTTAATATATTCCAAGTACCTTTCATGTTATTTGTATTATCCTCTAATACTTTAGAGTAATATTGTTTCTTACATATCCTCAATAATGCAATTAATTTGTTCTTATATAACTTATATTTTTCTTCCGCCTTCTTGGATCTGTCCTTTATGAATTCTTTATACAACGCATTCTTCTTTTTACATGCATTCTGTAATCCCTTACTTTAAATCAAATGAGAGAATACCAGTGTTTTTATTCCACCAGGCAGATGGAGAAGTGGGCAGAAATGCAATGCAATAACATCGCCTAACAAAGAGACAAAGTGGTGCAGACTGCACAGAGCACAGTAAATCTTTAGCTTTAGCGCAGCTTCACAGCATCATCGTTCACTTGCATGAATCCATCTGGATGACAGCTAATGTTTAAATGCCACTCTTACTGCTTTACCTTTGTGATACACATGAAGGCTGACCAACATACTTACTTTGAAGTCAATTCAGGAACAAGTGTGTGCACGTTCCACCTACAAATATTCCTCTTCAGCCACAAAGTCAACAACGATGGAGGTCATAATGAGGCAGTCTCACAGTTTTGAACACAACCGATTTATTTATGCCCAATAAAGCCTAAATAAATCTCTCTCATTTCTTTAATCTATGTCAGCAGTGAATAAACCTCAGTGCTGTGTTCGAGCTTCACCATCACGACCCATTACATCTGAGTGAAAGTAGGCAGTATTTCATTTTCCCTGAAGCTTAATGCCATTTCCTGACATAAATAATCATGTTGTTTGACTGTACTGTATAGAGGCCTCTAATTAAATTAATGAGGCTGAGGAAGAGAAATGTCACAAGTAATGACTAACCTCTTAACTCACCTCAGCATCAACTTTATTTTTCCCCATTCCTTGCATCAATCCTGGGTCATCCTCATCTTTCTGAAAGTCAAAAAGAAAAGAACTACATTAAATAAAAATGCCAGCTCATTTAGCTGCTGAGCAGACTTAGCTCTCTTATGGTGGAGTCTTGATAATGTGCAGACAACAAGGTTTGATTCTTTCACAAATATAACTGGCTGTTTTATAGCACACAGTGTAAAGATATTATACTGTCAAACCGGAAGGAGCACAAATGGTCTTTAAAGCATTCAGGAGATATAATTATAGAAGAGGATGCAAGAAGAGAAGCGCCAAAAGAAATCATGCCCAGGTCACTTAACTTCTTCATTCTAGTGAAATAAAATCATTTGAGCAAGGCAGCTAAGACAGCAGGAAGCAACAGAACAAGCATGACATAGCACTCACTTGACCATGGTTTTGTACTGTAGTTGTACTAGCAGTTTGGCTATAGCAGTTGTGATGTTGACATTGATATTAAAATTCAAAGATGTTGCACATACACTAGCAAACATAAACCTCAGTAAGATACATGCAATCTCAATGAAGGGCACTGAAATAGATGTTTGAAAAATGTATTGAACACTGAAAAAAAGGTGTTCAGGTGCTTGCACCTGTGTATAACCTATGTCAACAGTTTGTTCTATTGTGCTCCGCCGGATCAGCATTTTACAAGCCGCTGAGTCCCTTCCTAGCCTCATCTTTTGTCTCTTTTTATGAGTTGAGAACACTTAAGCAGATGTTCCCTGCCATCCTGCTTCGCTCTCCCTGTCCAACCTGCCCTGGTGCTTCTGCAGCTGTCTACCTGGCCTTTCAGACAGCACACATAATTGGGAGCAGGGCATAACTCCTTTGTAGTCTGATGGGAAATACTTTCAGAGGAGTCCAAAACATCAGACTAAACAAATATGTACTCAATGAAGCTGATGCTTTGGAGTGGAAAGGAGTTCAGCTAGTGTTGCTGGCTTTGTCCCAGTGGAGTTATCGAGTATTGTGCTTATCAAGATCAACTGCACATGTTGGAGTTGTGTTGAACAAACCCATTACCTCTGTGAACATTTTTGCTGTGTCAATCTACGCACAACAACTATCCAAAACCATTTGTCAAGTCAGTATGGTTGGGGAAAATCTCTAAGGGAGATGTGCATTTCTTTGTTTTCTTACAATGACTGATGATGACCGAACCTGGGGCAAGAATTCAAGAGTCTAGGAAGCAAATAATTTTGTGCTAAAGTAAGGAAGAAAAACAGCGACTACCAGCCTTAAACTTTTTATCAATATACATGTCAAAGAACTAGACCTTTAATCGACTAGTGGAGGAGATGCCGTCAGTTTAGAAAATGTAATTGCTATGAGGGAGAGTACTTGCTCTGCAAGCAAAGGCACCTGTCATGCATCATGTAACTGAAATGCACTTACTGGTGTCACTTCCCTTTCGCAGTTATCTTTACAATTTTGCAGTTGCAAAGCTGTCGATGAATGAGTGCTTCTGCTGACATTGTTCATTTTCATTTAATACAAGTTCAGCTAGATGAAAAGATGAGTTACGGGTGGGTTTATGGGTCAGTCTGCCCTGATCCCATATTAAAATCATAAGTGTAGGTAAATTCAACTGAATTAGACAAAATATGGAATACTGGAAAAAGTTGTACATGTATTGTATCTGGCAAATGTAAAAACAGTCTCCTACACTGATATAATAGATTTGGATCACAGAAACAAACACATTTGGACTAAAATGGTGTTCATTGGGTTTAGTCTTAGAGGAGAAGCTCAGTCATGGAACAACATGTCAAGCAGCTAATTCAACTTTTGAAACAAAAGATATTTTGGCCAGTGGAGAAGCTGGAGATGCAATGTATGATTCCACAGATCCAGCAGATTGTTGAATATGACCTACCATTTAGATGGTCACTACTTAATGTCCATTCGTTTTTCCATAACTGTTCTCCTCTAAATGATACAGCATGCGACCTTTCCGCTCCCCTGAAATCCAAGACAACAAGTGTTGATATGCACTGCCCTGACCGTGATACCAACGCTGTGATACTATAACCTGACAGGGAAAAACACACTATGCCAAGCCCTGTAGGCCTCAATGGCATTCTCCTCTCAGCCAGTGAATTAATGAGTCCCCAGTGTGTGAACATTGTGTTTGTGTGCATGTAGGAGGTGCCGCTGAGCAGTGTATATGTGGGTGTCAAGCATGCATGAGGGAAGTGTTAATGTTAATGTGTCAGTGTTCATGTGTTTAATGAGGTTGGGAATGTGTGAAGAAACATGCATATGGCTGGTTCTTGTGTTATTCTGTACATTAGATGCAAGTGGATGCAAAAGCAGTAAAGACACCGTATGTACATGTGCAAGGAAAAGGCATATTCAGCAATATCAAGAGGGAAAAAGTCAAAATGATGTATTAACAGGTGCACTGATGCTAGTTCGCAGTGTGCAATGACTTACATGCTGTGGCATGTGGTACCTATTATACAAGCATTTAAGGTGTTGTTGTGGGAAGCTTGAGAATACAGGGTTAGTTTTAATGGAAAAAATTAATTCTTTAAAAATTTTAAACAAACAAGAACGAATGTCAAATGTGAGACAGTCAATTGGACAAAATGAGCAATTTGAATTCGGCCTGTCTGAAATTCAGTTCCGTTTTTTTCAGTTTTCTTTTATTTGTCCAAATGAGAAGTCTAACATTAAAAATAATCAACTAGAGTTGTACATAAGGAAAATTGTCACCAACATATTTTCTTTTTACTTTACATCTTCACGGGTTTCAATGAACACAGCATTAGCAGCTTTCTGCACATAATTCTGCTGTTTTGTATAGTAAACAAATTACCAATAACAATAATAATAATAATAAAGGACAAGACGTGCCATTAGCAAAGCTATAACAATGCCCTAAAGCACATAGAAAATGATTCACGACAAAATGATTACAAACTTAAAAACTCACAAGTATGTGTGAGTTTTTCAGTTTTTAATCATTTTGTCATGGAGTGGAAAATGCTACAGTTTTGGGACAACACTTCCTGGCAGCAATCTGGTTAGCAAATAATAAACAATATAATCTTTATGGTCCTGTGATGAACCAAATAAATTACATCATAGTATTCCAGTCAGTCCAACTTTGTCTCACTTACTTTGCATTTTCTCTATTGTGTCATCAGCCTCAAACCAAAAATCCTTGGTGAAAAAGAGCGACTCTGAGGCTAATTAGGGCCCCATTACTTATTTAAAAGTAACTTGTTTATGTGAGACCAAGAGGTATAAATTATCCAATAGAGGATGTCTTTTGGGTATTTTGTTGAACAGAGCTTTATTAACAGCAACTGGTGAGGGCAATTTAATGGCATCCCAATTATTTCTAGAGTCCCTGCTATTGCCAGTGCCAGCCAGAAGCAGCCAGCTAGCACCCATTTAGAGAGGCGAGGGAACTGTTGGACTTAATGACACTGTTAAAAAGATCCTCTGTGGGCAGATGTGCCTTTTATATGGACCAGGGGACAGTTCTGGAGTAAAATGGGAGCAGCTGAGCTCATGAAAAAAACCATTCCATTTTGTTTCTAGTATAACCTAACTATCCGAACTTATACCATAATGATGGACCAGTTATGTTAAATTTAATGCTGTATTTATTTGATGCACCAACAAATTTGACAGCTTGGGGGGAACTTTGATGAATGACTATTATGAGTCAAGATACCACTGTGCTTTTTAAATTTCTGAGCACTACAGAGGTTGCTGTGTGTCATAACAGCATTGCATAAAGAATTATATCAAGTAACTCTCAGTGAACATTATCATTCTCCATATCTGAATTCATCAAGTTACTCACCAGATAACCTTGTGAAGAACGCAGCTACTTGTAAGTGCTCTAAGTGAGCCCCACACCCAGAGACAAAAATATAATGGTTGGTATAGTAACAGACTTGATTATGACTGAATAAGTGATGCATTGACAGAATTAATGCTAAAATACATCTGGGAGAAAGCAGAAATACCATCATCAGTAGTTAAAAAAATAAATAAAAAGCAGGTCGAAGGTAGAGCACTTCAGATGTACAGTATTTGAATACATCTTGCTCTTATTTGTATACCAAGATGTGTACTTGTGTAATATACTCCTTGTAGAGGGCGGCTGTGCCTCAGGGGGTACAAGCGGTTGTCTCCTAACTGGAAGGTTGGCAGCTCGAATCTTTTTCTCTATAGTCCACATGTCGAAGTGTTTCTGGGCAAGACACTGAATCCCAAGTTGCTCCCAATGGACAGATCAGCACCTTGCAGGGCAGTGTCTACCATCAGTGTGTGAGTATGTGTGTTTGAACGGGTGAATGGGTTGCGGGACCAATAAAGGGTGTTGTCCTGCCAACATGGTGCCGCAGATGGCTGCCTCAGTTGAATGCTCTCTCCGGTGGAGAGTCTCTGTTCTGGAGACAAATGTTAAACATACTTGGTCAATAAAAGTGATTAAAATATTACTGATGCTGCAGTAATGGGCTTAGTGACAGATACACAAACATGCTGTTGACATTAGTTTATTGCTTGTGGAGTGATTAATTAAATGACTTGTTACAAACTACTTTGCATCTTCTGGTACCGTGTATCTAAAATGTGTCTGTTTGTACGTAACTGAGAAAGTCTCTCGTCTTTTCATGTTTATTTCTTCTCACACTGAGTCTCCTGGCTTTGTGTTCCCTCACTGCCACCTGTTCTGTCAGAACTCCCTCCTCCTTTCCAATATTTTCCATTTCATCTGAAGACGTCAGAGGTCCTCCGAACAGCTGGCACTGCATCTGCCTTGGAGCAAAATAAATTGCCCACATCCACAGTTCTGTAAATTATTCAGTTTTGCTGCCATGTTATTCAATTTACTTTCTGGACATCCAGATACTTTTCAGAGACAGCATGATGCAAAATTTCACTGTTAGTTTTCACCATTAGTCGTCATAGTTAGCAATTAAGATTATCCATAAGATGGATGACATGGACAACTATCACCATTTGTACAGGCCCAGACAGCACTTAGATACAGG